GGAACGAGACTGACGACAACAAGGATTCCGGCATGCTTTCGCGGAAAAATGAAATGAAATAATCACAGAAATACAAGCGCGATCGCTCAACGAGAATGCAATCGCGACGGCCATGTCGAAATAACGAGGAAAAAAGAGAAAAAGAGAGAGAGAGAGAGAAAGAGAGAGTGAGGAGAGGAGAGGAAGCGGGTTACGCGTGAAGGAGACACACGTGTTTTCGAGCACGTTGCGCATCGATCTCGCGGGGGACGTCGACGACGTCACCGCTGCCGATACGGTCTCTCGTCGACGCGCAGAACGAGCCGCGGATTCGTTTATCTACGACGTGCACCAGGCGACTCTTCCTCGCGCCTCTTCTCCTTTTCGCGCGTCTCGCCGCAACAGGTCCCCGATGCGGAGCGCGCTGAAAAACTGACGCGAGACCGCGACCGCCCAACGGGGGCGACGACTTCGCGAGCCTCTCGCCGGGTCTTGGTTAGGACTGTGCGATTTTCTCTTCTTGAATCGCAATGCGATACGCAATTGGACTTTCATCGCAAAATCATACGTCTGCAAAACTCAAAATTACTCGTCACTTCAATTAAGTATCTGTGCAAATATCGCGCGATAGTCTATGATATTTTATATCATCTAATCTAAACTTATATATTTAGAGACACAATGCGATTATACTATTGTAACAGCCTTCAAATGTTAAGTATTATCTCTATTTATATATGATTTTTGTATACATTTTTTATATACCAGGTGTAGAAGTATGAAACCGGAATTCCCCTATAAATGGTGCCAGCGTTCAGTTTAGTGACCGTAAGACCGCTACTGCCGCGCTATTATATTCTCCTAACAGCTGACGAATATTGTCAACAAACATAACCCCAACTTTCATTCTCTAGTATATTTTTGTATAACCTTAAACATGTCACGTTTCGAGCCTACTAACTATGATTTGCGGACAGCATTGATTTTCTGTTATCATTTAAAGAAAACTGCTGCAGAATCACATCGAATGCTTGTCGAAGCTTACGGTGAATATGCTCTTGGTAAATCTCAGTGTTTCGAGTGGTTTAAAAAATTCAAAAGTGGTGATTTTGACGTGAGGAACGAAGAACTATGAACTATGAACTATGAACTATGAACTGCTGAAACCTGGTCAAACCGTCAATACTAATCGCTACCAACAACAAATGATCGATTTAAATCGAACATTGACTAAAAAACGACCAGAATATGCAAAAAGGCAACACAATGTCATTTTGCTCCATGATAATGCCCCATCACATACAGCAAAACGGGTCAAGGAAACGATCGAGTCGTTCAGTTGGGAATTACTACCGCATGCGGCTTATTCTCCAGACTTGGCTCCGTCCGATTATCACCTGTTCGCATCGCTAGGACACGCTCTCGCTAACCAACGCTTCGATTCGTATGAAAATGTGGAAAAATGGCTAGATAACTGGTTCGCTTCAAAAGATGAAAAGTTTTTTTGGCACGGCATTCATAAACTGCCAGAGAGGTGGGAAAAATGTGTTCAAAACAGTGGAAATTATTTTGAATAAAGTATTATTTATCACTTTCGAACAACAGACGTCTTATTTGTATAAAAAAATTCCGGTTTCATACTTCTACACCTGGTATACTGAGAAAAATTATCCAATAAAAAATTATCAAACAGATATTTCCAATCAAAATATTACCGATGAATTTTTATGTCCAATCAGGATATCTTATTAAATTTAATTGAATACGATCATAATGATATTTCATCAGATAAGCCAATGAAAAAAATGAATCAATATTTCTCATTGAATGTTTCCTGAACGGATACAAAAATTCATCGGTATTTTGATCGGATATATCCGTTTGTTAATTTCTTAATTTTAATTTCGAATAATTTCTCTCGTGTATGTTTCAGGAAATGACCATATATTACTAGTCTTTATATTAATTGTCATTAAAATGTCAATAAAAAAAGGTAATAAGTAAATAGTTTTATAAAAAAATAGTTTTGTAAAAAAGTATTGTCAATAAATAATTAATTAAATATGAAAAATAACATTTTTATATATCATTAATAAGTCATTTTTAAAAATGCTTGAAAATTAATAATTTGAGAATTAATAAACAAATTTTGTAAAATATCTCCCATTTTGCTCTGCGTAGAAAGCATAATGAAGTTAAGTGATGTTTTTAAGATAACATCATTTAACTTCATAATGCTTTTATTCTTCTTCTTTTACAGTAAAACTTGGGTTTTCTTGTAGTGGACATTTCAGAGAATATTTTGATGCAGTACGAAGACTTCTTTTGATTTTTTTTTAATATGTTTAAAATTTATTTATTTATGCACATGTTTAACATTTATTTATGTTTAACACTTATTTCAACATTACGGTTTTTATCAGGGGTAACATGTAGGGCCTCAGTAATCATTTTCTTATGATTAAAAGTCACGTTAACGATACAAAATCGCGCACGATTCAAAATCGCACTTGCAATATACAATCATATTTGCGATACAAAATTGTGATGCGTTATATCTCATTCATTGCGATTCTTAAAAAAAATCGCGTCGCGATATATACAATTTCGTGAATCGCAAATCTCTAATCTTGGCGACGGACGAGCGACAGAGTGGAGCAGAGAGCATGAGGGAGATAGATCGCAAATTATAGTAAAATACAGTTAAATACAGTTAAAAATTATAGTAAAATTATAGTAAAATACCAATCATTGTTTAAAAAAACGTTTAAAAACCTGATTCTTTATAGAACCAGCACTGTGGTTAAACTTCTTGCCTGCATTCAATGATTCTAAAAGAGAACTTCACGGCTAAAATCGCGAACAATCTTCAATGATCGCAAATAAATTCAGGCTTTTCTACAATGTCAATGACTAAGGGAGATCAATAATTGGGTACACAGAAAAAAAACACTCTTGTTTGGAAAGTATTTTTATTTAATCTTTGCTAATCTTCAAATGAGATTACATAGTGTTAAACGAAGATAAGTGACTCTTGAGAGGATATACTTTATATAACTTAACGAAGAAAAATCTGTTCTTATTATTTGAAAATAATTTTTATTAATGAAAACATAAATATAATCACATTAAGTAATAATATTAAATAATTTTTAATATTAATTAATATTAAATAATATCATAAGCACATCACAAAATATCAGATTGAGAATGTGTTTTTAAACATCGAAAGAAGAGATATTATTATTCAAAATAATCATATAGTACTTTTTATGGAATTATTAACATTCAAATGAAGTTATAGTTGAATTGTTGAAGTCATTGTTGAAATTCAAGACTTTAAAATTTTTCTAATAGAATTATATATTGTTACTTATACAGAGTGTCTGACGCAAAGTGTCCTATATCTGTAAATTAGGTCAAACTGAACACAAAATTCTTGTACTATTTTGCAGTCAACCACGTGAAAGTTTGAGTTATTAATTAAAGAAGATTGGCGAATGATTAAAGAGCACTGATTCATCATTCCACGCGATCATCTGCCAATCTTCTTTAATTAATAAGAACTCAGAATATAATAAATAACTCAGAAATCTATCTGGTTACTTGCAAAATGATAGAAAAATTTTGTGTTCAATTTCACCTAACCCATATAGTCAGTAGTAACAACGAAGCCAACAGCATAAATCGTAAGAACATCGTTGGAATCATCGGAATCGTCGCTCGATCGTGAGGTTTAAGTAACACTAACGCAGTCAGGATATGGATGGGTGACCGATATTACCGCTTGGGATCGAAATTATCGAGGGAGGATTGGCGAAAGTTTGAAGCGTGTTGATAACAATTTTCGGTTCCTAGCGGTTTGTGAAACATGAGAAAATTAAAAATTATAAATATATTTTTGTATAATATTATAATTTTCTCATTTTCCACCTTTACACAATAATTCTCAGTATTTGATTACTATCAATATTTAACAGTGATTTTATTATCAGTATTTATCAGAAATTAAATACTGGTCAAAAAATTACTAAATTACTGAATTAGTAGTACTTAATCATTAATAACCGATTGTACTGCCAATGCTGGGGAAGTACTGGCTAACAACGATTGGGCCAGTACCATTTGCCAGTACTGGGCCGAAGTTATCATTCCATAATATTCCCATTGATGGGCCAGTCATGGTCGTCATTACTGCGCCAATATAAGTGATCTGGCAACTAATCTTGGGCCAGTATTAAACCAATAGTAAAATCCTATATGAGTGGCACTGCGCCAATAATTTTTCCAGTGTTGCGCTAGTATTCGAACTCTGACAACCAGTATTGGCCTAATACTTTGCCAATTGTAAAACTTTATATCTGCCATTATACGGAACATAGGTAACTTTACACCCTGTGTATGAAACAACGATTGTTAATTTCAGCACATTAGTTTTAAGTGGATGCTAATTTTCTTGTATATCAATAACTAGATGTTGTACAAGACCAATTCATCGAGAGCATTCGATGCTCGACGGTGAAATGCGTCCGGATTAGATTGGAAATTGACGTTGGCCTTGAGACTGGCGAAATAATTGCACCGATAATAACGAGAGATAAAGGGAGGAAAACGGAATGTGTGATTAGATAACTGCGATGAGAGAGTGATTCAATGTATCCACGCGATTTGATATTCCAGATCGGAGACGGACGAATTTTCTTCGTATCTTCGAGGCGAACCCTCGAGCTGTGCGAAGCGATATGCGAGGGAGAATTCGATTTGAGTAATCGTCACGTCGAAACAGTCGGATTTTACGTCGCCCGCTCGATGAAAATTCATGCGAAGTACGGTGCATGCATGCGCGCATATATATATATATATATATATATATATATATATATATATATATATACACATATATGAAAGTTCAGATGTACAGCGAGAAAAGTCTGATCGATAAGATAACATCGTGACGCGCAGTTAGTTGCGCGATGTGATTCATTAGTTGCACGGCGGGAATATCTCACATTGCATTTCCAATTCGCCCAATCTAATCGTTAACAAAGGCTGCGTCTCCAGTTGTCCTCGTCGTCGAGAATCAGGTACTTTCACATTTTAACTTGAATCTCTCCAACAGAGGACAGAGCATTCGGCGTAGTCTCTGTCTCGACGCGCTTTAGACAACGAAACTGCAAGCTGCCGCGTAAAGTTACCTTCTCCTGCCTTTGTTTCTACTCGTCCGCGAAATCCCCCAATTTCCAAAGGTGTGCCGTCCATACTTGCGCGCGAACACGAACAATATTCTCCACGTGTATATCGAAAACGCGGTACTCCTGTGCCCTCCTGTGACTCCCGGGCTGCAACAACGTTAACACTAGCGAACCAGCGACCATTAACGATCCATTTCTGCCTCAGAGGGATCAAATGTTTATTTCTTTCTTTCTTGTTTAATTCAGCTTAAAAATACGTTACCGTTATAAAAATACGTTCGTTACGAACGCACGCGTTATAGATTTCAGTAATTTTTAGGAAAAATTACAAAACCCGTCAGGTAGTTCTAATGTTAATACGTTTACACAAGAAGCAGCACGCAAGTGGGAATCAGACGGCCGCATTTAAAGTCGAACGCGCGTCCTGAGTATCATTCTGTGTGATAACACCTTCCAATCTAACTCGCATCGATCTGTCCCTTCGAGGTTGCACATCCATCATAAGCGGAAATGAAGAAATTGAGGGAAACTCAGGAAAATCTATGGTAAGAGACAAATCGTCGTGTACAGTAAACGAAGGGAATAAACGCGCATATGTACGCATTACGACGCTCTCGCACATGCGAAGGAACGTATTAAGGTCCGTGGATGGTACGCACGTTGTACGTGGCGCGTAGCGGTACGTGCGTCCGACGGGTAGCCGATTCCGCGGCGCGAACAGAAACGACAGTGGTGCTCAGAGGACGAAGAGAGGGAGAGAGGAGTCGGCAAGAGGGGCAAACGGAAAGGGAGAACCCCGGTGGGGTGGCTGCAAGCAGCAGCAGCAGCAACGAGCAATGGGAAGGGGAGAAAGGAGATAGAGAGGCCGAGCGAGCAAGCGAGAGAGAGAGAGAGAGAGAGAGAGAGAGAGGAACAGACAGACAGAGATAGAGAACGAGAGAGAGAGAGAGAGAGAGCCGACTTCGGACCAGCATCGCTGTGAGATCTTGTTCGCTGTAACGCACTATGAGGGAAACCCCGCCCCCTGTGAGGCAAGCGAACCTGCCGATTGGTCGAGAGGAATGATGGCAGGCGCTGTTGCCAATCGATTGCCGTGAGCGCTCGAGCCTGGTCCGTCGTTCGGTTGCGATTCCCACTCCGGCGAGGAGAGTGACTCCGTGGAGGGGAGGCGCGCAAAAAGTAAAGGTGGGGAACGGCCACCTTCGGCAGGAAGTGAGCTTCGACCCCAAGGAGTATAGCATAAATGCTCAGACTGTTTCGTTCTCCGGTGGAGAGTGGAGGTCGCATCTCTTCTTCTGCATCGGGTTCTAAACGTAGTCGTTTCCAGCACGCTGGAACAGTGTAGTGATATCGTCGGATTGTCATTCGAAGAGGACCGCGTCGGAGCGCGCCCGCGTTTGGCATCGTGCGTCGTTGCCGCACAGTCGTGACGCGATTCGTCGAGCGTGCCGCAGCCCGCAGCCAGTCAGAGTGGCTAGCGAGAGACGGAGAGTGGCGAGAGACACTAGAGCGGTGAGGGGAAGAAAGTAAGTAGTGGCCGTCAGTTCTCACTTGGACTCTGTGACCTGCGGATCGTGTGAGTATCTCTCCTCGGCTGCGTGTTAGTCGAAAGCGATCCGTGCGCAGGTGACGGCACACTTCGCGAGTCGAGCTGTAGTTGGGACGTAGCTGACCGATGGTATGGTGATCGGGAAGTGCTTTCTGTCAATGTCGGGTTCTCAGAGACGAGTAGTTAGACCGTGAACAACATCCAAGGACAAGAACCCGGCCGTGTCTTTTACGGAATGTGCGATAGTGCTTGTCGCATCGTGCGGACAGTGCGCCCGTGATCACGCGATTGGACCTTGTGTTCTTATCTGCCGAAGATAGGGTTGGCCCCCCCTTTTGATGAGGGCCGCTCACCAGTGATCTGCAGTTTCAAGCAGTGATCATTGAGAGGCAGGAAAGCTTCGTGAGTGACAGTAGAACTTAACGGGTCACTTTCATGTCATCGCTCGACGCGCGCAGGTGTACGTCGAGGAAGTGACGGTGAAGTAAACCGGGCGACCATCATTCCGGACGATCACCGGTTGCTGCGTGACAGACCTTCGGCGTGCTGCGTCGATTTTCTTGACGTCGAGAGGTAACAGAAAAGGACGGCAAGCTGTACGGGCACAGGGAGGAAGACATGCTCACGATGGAGACGGACCTGAAGGGCGGCAGTTTGCACGGTCAGATGCCACCGCATCCGCAGGGTGTATCACCGATGGGACACCACGCCGGCATGCCCGCTTATGGCACCCTCGGCTCGATCGTGCACAGCCCGGCGCTGTCGGGAAGTCCGCCTGGCGCGACCGGCCTCGGCATGGGCCTGCAGCATCACCATCAGGCCCAGCAACACCACCCCTACTCGTCCATGCAGGCTGCCGCGGCCGCTGCCGTAGCTGTGCAGCAGCAGAACATGCACGCGATGGCGGCTCAGAACGCCCATCAACAGCATCATCCGCATCAGTCGCAGCAGCAACAGCAGCAATCGCAGAACCAGCATCAGCCGAACAATCACAGCGGTAGCAGCAGTAATCCCAGCAGTAACCCTGCCAACAACAAGAACAACAACATGGACCGCGTGAAGAGGCCGATGAACGCCTTCATGGTGTGGTCGCGCGGTCAACGGCGCAAAATGGCACAGGAGAATCCAAAAATGCACAATTCGGAGATCTCCAAGCGACTCGGCGCCGAATGGAAGCTGCTGAGCGAGCAGGAGAAGCGCCCGTTCATCGACGAGGCGAAGCGGTTGCGCGCGGTGCACATGAAGGAGCACCCCGACTACAAGTACCGGCCGCGACGTAAGACAAAGACGCTGCTCAAGAAGGAAAAGTTCACACCGGCCGGCATGGCTGCCGTCGGCGGCATGCTCGGCGTCGAGCAACGGCAGGTAGGAGCCGGCGGTGGGCCGCAATCGTCCTCGTTGACTCGGGATATGTATATGGTGCAACAGACCAACGGCTACATGCCCAACGGACACGCCACTGCCCACCACTATCTGATGCACGACCCGACGTCGGCGACGGTTGCAGCGGCGTATCAGCAGCACCAGGCGGTGGCGTACAGCGGCCATATGAGCGGTGCCGCGGCCACCGCGGCATCCTACCCGAGATACCCGGACGCGATGAGCCACCACATGAGCGGCGGTAGCCCCAGCCCGATCAACAGCTACATGAACGGTTACACCAGTGGCTACGCAAGCACCACCGTTCCGGGCGGCTCGCCCTCGCCCTATCACCAAGCGCAACCGGGCTCCCAGATGTCCAGTCACAGTCCAAGCGGCAGCAGCATAAAGTCCGAGCCGACGAGTCCAGCCAGCGGCGGCATACACACGCCAACGCCGACGGGGCCGACGTCGGCGGGTGCGGCCGCCAGCCAGGTGGTGAAACGGGAGTACATGGGCCAGCAGCAGCAACAACCCAACCAGCAGACGCAGGGTGATCTCAGGCAGATGATCTCGATGTACTTGCCGCAGGGGGTCGAGCAAGGAGTCGTACATCACAGCACGGCCGTCTACTCGCCCGGTCCGTCGCCGGAGGCATTGACGCAACACCAAGTCCCTGTGCCGCACCTCCAGCATATGTAAGCATACTTACCGTCCCTTGTAATAAAGGCTAATAATTCCTTCTATCTCTCTTTCTCTCGCCGATATACTTCCTGCTCGCCTGCGTTCGCTTTTACCGAATTCTCGCTTCATCGCTCGCTCGCTCGCTCGCTCGCGGAAGGTCGATAAGGACGTCGCGCGCTCGAGGACGCTCTCGCGGCCGGCTGTGTCTTGGCGCTCACCTCCCTTGGGTTATTTCGGAGGTTCTGTCAGATCGTTCAGTCGATGACAATCTGTTTCTTATACGAGAGATCGCCACATCTTTCTTTTCGCGGAGTTTGATCGTCGAAACCGAGATATCAATGTTGTCTAATCGTCGCTCGTCACATTGTAGATTAACATTATCGATTGTTTTGTCCTTTGGTAGGAAGCATACTAGCGCGATTCACTTTGCTGATCGCAAGCGGCGTTGCGCAAATTTTCGTAGAAAGTCACGCCGAGGACGCGAGAACAAAAACTGTTCTTTCTATCTTTCTAATTGTGCAGTCTATTTTTCGTCCTGTAAATCGGATCCTACGCCGATAGTAATTCTAACAGAATATTCTGGCATGTTCGGACGAATTGCTCGTCGGAATGTTGTTTCTATGTATCCGCGAGTCTAATATTTATGTTCGACACCGATACAACATCGTTCTCCTCGCATTGTCAAACGAATTCTCTCTCTCGACGTGTACGACGACTCTGGGATTGCGTATAGTCGCTCGCAAAACACTGGCTCGGACACGGTGAAGTCCCGAGCTCACCGAACCGTCAAAATCGAGAATCACTACCGACGCGAGCTTGCGCGGTAATAACATCATTAATAATATAAACTAATAATAGTAATTTACATAAATAATCATTAATAATGCAATTATCGCGCAAGCCCATCAGTAACGACCCTCAATCTAGACAGTTCGCGTATTGAGATGTTCCAACTTCATTGTGTCTGAACAGTTTTGCAACGGAGAAAATATTGCGTTAAAAATGTCACAATGAAATTTTTACAATCTTGGACTATGCATAATTCTAACTGAAATTACTATAAATTTTTTTTTCGAAATGTATACACATAAATTATACACGTTTGACTAATCTCTACTACAAAATTATTGCAGTTATTATAATGTTTCTTTTCTTATTATGCAGAGATTGTCAAATTTATTATTTCTACAGTAATTTGCGTTACAATGTCAGTATAATCTCCAGCTCTAGAAAAAGATTTATGAGGAAAATTTTAAGGCAACACTCTCTCCGTGACCGACAGACATATCTAACGCGAAACTCGCAGAGCGGTCAGGTAGAAGGCATCGCGGCGACCGCTCTCTACGAGGCTGATGCCGCCTCAGCGATATTCGGATTGTACGGGTTTTATGTTCGGGTTCCAAACAATGAGAATGCGACGGCCTCTCCGCGCGAGACACAGCCGGACGTTTTGCCGACTTTTCCGCGATTCGCAACACCTCGAGATTCGTTCTGGCGCCTTGGGCCGGTTGTCAGCAGGGGATCCGCGTTTTATTGTGACATTCGAAGGTGCGGTGGCATTTGCGGGCGAATTTCATCGCGAAAGTCACTCGCGCGCGCGCGCGCTTCACTCATTGTCGTGCTTCACTTACTTGCTTGTACGTCGGTTAAACGGAGCTTGGCCGTCCGACGGAGCAGCAGCTGACAGACGCATCGCTCCGCCACGAATTTCGTTGATCTCCGACCAGAAATCTACCCCATGGATGTCCTGGTCGATCCCGAACAGTTATCTGGCTTGCAAGAGGCGATGTCATCGAGCCCTATAATTAACGATCATGACTGATAAGGTCCTCTGATTGCCACGCGTTACAGCACTTATCGGGAGCCGGTGACATCACCTCTTGCAAACCAGACAACCGATTAACCTCTGGTCGATCAGGATCAGTTGGGATAAGTTTCCGGTTCAGGTTTTATACTTGTCTCTCGATAGATTTCGGCAAACTGTTGCACACGTACGATTGTTTATAAATGAGTGAAGGCATTTCTCTCCGCTTCTATTCTCTTTCCGTTGACCTTTGATTCCGATTTGTAACGAGGACCCCCTGCAGCGCACCGTACACGCGCCAATTCCGAGTGAGCGTTCGCGTCATTATTCGGCACGGCAGTCTCCTACCTCTCTCTTTCTCCATGTGTATAACGAACGAGATAACGTTTCGCAAACGGTACGCACACATCCATCTTCCCTTCCCGTTCCGCGGAATACGCGAGAACAACAGCGAGGCAGGTTCTGCCGAATCACGACGCGAACGCTCTCCCGACGTCCTTCTGCCGCACACGAGCGAACGATAATCTCGCATATGCGCTATCGTGACAATGCTTCTGGACCCTATCATCGCGCTTTAACTGCTAAGAAAACGACGATCACATCGTAAAACGGCGTACGTGTCTCTCCCCAGCCGCTCCGGAATCCGAGTCGCTCGCGATTACCAGGCTGTGTGCGCGCACACACACGTACACACGCACGCCGCACGTACGCAAGCACGCACGCACGCACTCAACACTCGGAGAGCTAATCAGAGCCGGGTACTTTCGAGATGTCGATGCGCCGGCAAATTACAGGCCGGCGGTATCGAGTCGACAGCGGGGGAGAGAGAAATATCGTGAATTATCGGCTCGCGTGCGCCGCGAGTCTCTCCCGACCTGCTTGGCGTTCTAACGACCCTTCCGCTAGAATCGCCGTCAACCGGAGAGATATCGATGCTGATAGACTTTCCTTCGCGCTCGTGTCGCACTGGCGAAATCAACGCACGCACTCGTAGACTCACGCGAATCCTACTCGCGCGCTTGCCACAAATGAAATTTCAGCGATCGCGTCGAGTCTGAAATCGTCCCCCTCGAGGCCCTCTTCCCTCCCTTCCTCCCCCTCGAACTCGCTACCAAGTGCAGGCTTCTTGCGTTCACGCACTTGGGGGCGAATTTTCCGCTGACTCTGTCGATCTGAACGGCAGAGGGCGAAGTGCAGCTTGCGTCCGACAGACACGCGGATCTCGACAAGTCTCGTTGGCGTGACTCACGTTGACACTCGGCCGGAGGCCGTCGAAACATTTGGGCGACCTCATTCCCTTGCGTTTTCCTCATCATTTATCAGCGAACGCTTCATGGCTCCACTCTGCATTTCCCTCGGTCGGGCGCGAATCGTCGTTCCTTTACACACATGTCGAGAGTCTTATCCACCGTCCATACTTATTGATCTCGTGTATATGTGATGGGAAGGCTTGCGCGTGATACTCTATATTCACTCTATATTCAACGAGGCTCCCACCATCAGTCGGTTGCTCGCGATTCGCACGATCGTCCTGAGTTTTGTAGCCGTCGTTCTGATCCGTCTCTCGTTCCATCTCCTCGTTAATTTCCCCTCGTTACGCCTCCAGACGTCTGAGTTGCGTTATTTATGTTTTCGCGCGGATTCTCTGCGCGAAGTACAGGAGAACGCGCGCGCGGGGGAGGGGGGTTCCGATTATTGGCTAATTTTAGCGTAGGGTCCAGAATGAAGCAGCGTTCACGATATTATTTCTCGAGGCTCAATATTTATTTCTCCCAGTGAATTTATTTGTGTGTTCCCCTTTCTCTCTCTTTCTCTCCCACTCATTATCGTTTCGTCCCCGACTGTTATGCAGCGAGTGATCGACCTGAAATCACACAGAAATAAATATTGAGTTCAATTCGGCTGGTCCCGATATAGGTTGAGTCAAAAAACCGATCGAGTTTATCATTCCGTTTTGTTCTCGTCGCGAACGGTTTCATAGAATCTCGCCCGCACCGGGTCTTCTCCTGTTTTTTTTTTTTTCTTTTTATTTGTTTTGCACCTCTCGAGTCTTCGCGACTGTCGCTTTCCTGCCCGTCGATCTCGAGACGATTAGAATTGCGACTAAATCTCACGAACGCTTTTCAATCCCGACGTTGCGTCTCGCACTATCTGTGTCGCGGTCGCTGAATGATCATCACGAAGGTTTCTTCTGACTCATCCTATTTCACCGAAACGACGCGCAGGCGGCTCGAAAACTTTTCACACGAAAAAAAAAATACGTCTCTTCTCTCTCACATCTTTTCGCAACCTAACATCAAACAATACCTACCGTAGGATGGCTACTTAAGAGACCGAAAGAGACACACAGACAGAGTGACAGAGGGAGGGAAAATGCCAAACATGGATAATCAGCTGTGCGGATAAAATAAGGAAAAGAAAAATACAAAAACAAAAAGCTATGCAGAGAGTGCGAGAGAAGAGCCAAGACACACAGAGCGAAATAGGCAGATACGAAGGAAGGAGAGAAGATGAGTGAAGAGAGGAGAGGAGAGCCCAACTAGATCAGGAGAGTGTCTCGCAGCTTTAAAACAATTTCCGCAGGACCACGAGGAAAAGGCAGGAACGAAAGGACCTCTCGCACTTTGCGCGCTCAAGAAAAAATAAAGAAAAGGAAGAAGATTTGTTTAATAGCACAAGTGTAATTAATTGCGATAAGAAGACTTCCCTTATTCCTTTAACCGAAAAAATCGCGCAACCGAAAAATGTTTTGCTCTAAGTGAGAACTTGAAAGAAGTGAAACTAAAGTGTTGTATAAAGTCAGGTTTAGTGTTCCTGGTTTTCATGTCCGGCCAAGCTCTGCTTTGTCTTAAGTCGTAAATAATCAGTGTTGCGGGTCCGACAGCGCGCTGACAATTCTTCGAGGACGCAACGAATCGAATTTGTACTTTGTTCATTCACCATGCGAGGAAAATAATAATACAAACGATATCATTCAATGAGACTCGAACAGTTACATCAACGTGATAGCGACGGCCGTAATGATGAGAGATTCACGAAGATGTTGTGAACGACAAATCTCGAGGACGCCGAGGTCGAGACGATCTCTCGCCCTGGGTTTCTCTCGTTCCCTCGACGAAGCTTATCGCGAGGAATTTGTCGTTGACTGTGAAACGAAATTTTGACAATGGTGCTAATCGGCGTATACGTTGTAAGTATCGTATAATTGACTTTGGTGGCATGCAATAAGTATAACGCGTGAGAAATGGAGATTGTATCATATATTGAATATAAAATATCACGATACATAGAGCGGGGCCTGAGTAATTTTAATTTGTACGAGGTGTAGAGAATGGGGCGCACCCATTATATGGACCTTGGAAATATGTAATATCATATTCAAGTGTAAATGCGAAAGGAATATGTGTATATATGTAAATATAAGTTACTATAAAATCTGAGAGAGAGGTATATACATATAAATATATTAATTATATTCTCCGTTTCCTTTGATATTAGATATTTAAAAGCCAATTATATTAAATCGCGTTGCCGTTTTACCGGAGAATCGGCGCTGTCTCACAATGTACACGCTGTCACACAATGTATATAATAAATAAATAAATGATACGCAAACTAGAAATAGACGCAATATCGATTTCCCCGGTATATGAACTCACCGAATTATACAAGTCGTTGTAACTACGTGTAAATACGCGCGATACGTTTGAGGCTTATTTTTCTTTCTTTTCTACAATTGGCCGCTTCGTGAACGCGTCGTCGAACCAGTGCGAATCGCGATCCGATGATTCGCTCGCGTCGTGAACAAAATCCTCATGCTGTTATAACGCCTCGAGCTTGCAACACAGCAGGGTTGAGCGCTCAGTTTGCCGTTACTCGCGGAACATCCAGATCAAAACTCGATGTTCCGCGCGTATTACACGCGTAGATGTATGCGGATCATCATCAATGTACATACACGAGGAGAGGATAAGCAACCAATCAAAAATCGTCTGCGCGAAAGAATGTTAGAGGTAATTTATTCTATATAATACGCACACACGCACACACGATACATATGTTATATATTATATAATCTTTATCGATATATTATATAATATATAATATATATGTTATTATTATTATTGTATTATTATTATTATTAGCAATATATTTTGCACTCCGTACTTTTCGAGGCAATAATTTAAGTCTTGACTTGGCATAATGTATGTTAAACGCGATATACGGTCGACCTTAAGTAGACGTAAGAGAGAAAACAGTGAAGAGAAAAGGTGAAAAAAATTCCGAGAAGACACAAGAGAGGTTGTGTGAACCGACATTGTGGAAAACTTTCTTTAGTAGCGCCGACAGATTCCTCGAGTTGAGCTCCGTCTGGAGGATCAACCAATCTCGCGGCGATCACGATCGATCGTTGACGTTTATGGTGCTCATAGTGTGTTCACCGATATTCTACCTGGTCGCGCGTTCCACTCGCCGCCGGAACTCGCGTGATGTTCGCTTCGGGATTCTCGTATTCGCAGTCGCGAATGTCGACTCTCGTTATCAACAATCGTCGTCCTTGCACGGTCATTTTCTTTTTTACTTCTTAACACTGCACGCAGTCAGCTAAACGAAGGTTGCAGCACTTTTCCCCGATTTGACCTTCGCCACGCATTTCGTATTCAGTAAGAAAGTATATCTCCTGAGAATGACCATAGAAGGCCCATATTAATAATTGTCAGCGGAAACATGTCCCATGTGAGGCTTTTATTCACAGTCGGACTCAGATTTTTCAGTAGACGTGTATTATATATGACATTTGTATCTATAATCGCGATTCGATCGAAAGACTCTCATTTAACTCTAAGACTCGTATTAATAGCAACCGAAAGTGAAATACTCAGATTTGAATTTAGAGTTAGATGTGAGTGTTTTCTAAATCATGAACAAATGTGTCGCATATGTTATATGATTCAAATGAAAAAATCTCAAAACTAATTTAATCTCTAAATATCTCACGTAAAAGACAAGTTTCAGGTGACGATAATTGTTAAAATTTGTTTCAAATGAGATCCCCAGGTCCAAATTTAGAGTTAGATATGAGTTTTTCAGTTAAATCGTGATTACACATGCATATGTTATCCAATTTGAACAGGAAATTTAAACCCAATTCTAAATTCAAGTCAGAATATCTTATGTGAAAGACAAGTTTTAAGTCAGTGTTAATACAAGCTTGAGCATATCAATAATAATTGCTTCAAACGAGATACACGAAATCTGAAAATATCGAGTATCTTACTTTAATATGGACTCAAATGCTAATTTAAATATCTTAATTGAGACGATTTTCTAGTAATAATTATTTGCATAAACTTGGAAAACAAATTCTCTTATGGAATACGTTGCGAGGATTCTTCTCATAGGGGAGAATTGCTGCAACCTTCAGTCGATTGTACGATGTGACTACTTCTTTAACGGTATGTTTCTACGTGAGAAAAGGGAAAATCCGACGAATTCGCGCGACTAACTTAACTGTCGCGAACGATACTACCGTTGCCGCACTGATACAGCCATTGTAATAGCGTTTGCTCGATCGATCGAGGTGTACAGCGCGAAGGATCTAACCGAGAATCGAGATCAGTGCTCGCCGATATCTCCGATTCAGTGTGTGATAAGAAAAATAAAAAAAAGCGCAGTGTGTGATAAGAAAAATAAAAAAAAGCGCAGAAATTCAGAGTTCTCGAACATGACGAAAACGAGAAGGAAGAAGAGGTGCGTATTGCACAGTAACGATATAATTCCATGTAATGATAACCGTGCGTAAGTTTGTCAATCGCGAAACTAATCGAGCGGGATATCGGAAAGCAGTGCTTTCGTTTGTCGTTGTGCGACTCGCCTGCGAAAGGGAAAAAAAGAAAAAGAGGGAAACATGAGTAAGAGAGGACAAATTGGAGGATGAGAAAGAAACAGGAAAAGCGTAGGGACACGTGCCTCCCGACGTTTTCCGATGTCGCGCAGAAAATGTGTACTTTCCGTCGCGAAGCGTTCCCTTGACGATGAGAACGTCGCGCGACGGAAACGCGACGTCGTCGCTTCTCGTGATCGTTGTTTGCTGTCGGTGGATATTTCGGCTCGCCTTCAAGCTTGCGATATTCGCGGACTCGAGATTCGTCAAGGCGCGCGCGACATCGCGCGACATCGATATCTCTGTTGCAAGAGAGCAGCGGATTCCGTTACAGCAAGCAACGGCGCGTGTGTGTACATAAATGTATAAGTTATACAAATCTGTAGCAAGTAAGGGGGACACCTGTGTATAGAGAAAGTCGCTGCTCTTCTTAAGCGTTCACCGTTGCTTGTTTCTGCAAAATTTTTCGCCGAGAGGGACGTCTTCTTGCCTCCTCGGCAGAAGAGGAGTGTCTGTCACGAGCACAGCCCCCTTGTACATAGGATATCAGCGTGAGCTCCACGATGTACATAGATCTATGATGTATGTTTTACGCGAACTCTCTTTACGATGCACGTTAAAATATGTTATTATACATACGTCTCTACATGCATATATAGATATTGAGAATTAAAAATTCAATTGTGTTTTTCAATTCGATCACCATTCACACAAAAACATCATTATCCACTATCAATCCCGCTGCGCATACCTTTCGCGTGTGTATTCGCTTCCTCCTGTCTTAAGGCGTGAAATTTTCATTCTTGGCCTTACTTTCGCACTTTGTGTCGAAATCGTAACGACACCACAAGGCACACCGTTCAAAATTCGATTGTCGGCTGATGGTGAGAGGATAACGTTGTGGCACATACAATAACCTGTTTTTTTAAGAGCTTATAAAACCCGATCGACCCGTTTCTAAGGGTTTGTGAATGTTTGCATCGCGAGCACGTCGTTGAAATTAATACTCCTGCACGCAGAAAAATATTCCATTACTTAAAAAAAAAAAAAGCGATTACTTGGTTTATTTTCCTTCTCTTGAATAATGGTCGTCTACAATAAAGGATATTTTCATTATAACAATCTTGAGATATACTCCGTTGCAAATTTTAGAAAAGCTCATCATATACTCAGAAGAAGAATATTATGAAACTTTTTATCGAAGAAAAAGTTGATTCGACTCTGCGTAGTAAGTAAATTGAACTTTTGTTTCCATTTAATATTCTTGTTTCCGTTTAATATATATATATACACATATATTCTTGTTTTCATTTATTATTCCATTTAATATTCTTGGTTGAAATACTAAACTTACTAGGATTCAAAATCCTTATTAGATAAATTTGATGCTTACAATATAAACTCGTGATAGATTCGTGGATATACAGGATATTTCTAAAGTATATGTAAGAAATGCAGGAGGTTACTCCTTACATCAAGATAAAAGAAAAAGCTTATATGCAAATATGTCCTAAAATGCTTTGTTTCCAAAATAAATCTCTTTCCAAGATAAGATCATCTCAAACGGGATGACTGAAAAAATATCCTTTTGCGAATAAAAACAACGGTGAAATATAAAAATTTTTAATCTTTATATTTTTATATTTTTACTCTTTTTGTCAAAAAAAATTAAGAAAAAATATTTTATTTACTCAATTTTATTCTCTCAAAGACGACACAAAGATTTTTCTATTTTTTCAATAATAGTGTGTTTTATAGTATGTACTAGTGAATTCTAATAAAAATATCTCTTTTTATTTGCAAAAAAATACTTTTTTCAGAGGATATATATCTCTTTCTCGGGAATGAAATATTTTAGGACATATATTGACATAATTTTTTTCCTTGAAAAAAGAAACATTTTTTTTCTTTTAAAATTTTTTTTTTACATATACTTAGGAAACATTCTATATATCCTTATGAAACATTTAAAACAAATCACATTTACTTGAATGCAATATATATTTTTCTGTGTATTTCTCGCTGCGGAATTCTTTACCGATAACGTTAGAAACAAGAAAGTGCACGTTCAAGATTCTTGCAAGATACATTGCAATAAGATATGTTCACAAAATATGGCACTGGCAATCGGCTGAGCAAATCAGAACGCTTTCCTTTTTTGCACTCTAACGATCAATAAATTACCGTAAAATTAACCTACCTTTTTAATTTATTTCTTCTCATGTGATTTTATCACGTTAATTTTACGGTAATTTATCGATTTCACCTTGTGAACGCATGATTTTGTTTTAACATATTTTACAAGAATTTTGAGCGTGCAGAATTTTCTCGCTTCTGACGTCATTAATCAAGATGATCGCGACGAGAAAATAGGAACCTTAATCGAATAACGGAACTGGAGAAGAATGGAAGGAACGAGAATATCAAGCTAAAAATCATTTAGCCAGTATTCGTGCCAGTATTCGTGCCCTTTTCTGAGAACACAAAGGACCACACTGACCATCCTGGTTCTTTATCCGTGCGTCGCACCATCGCTAAACTACAAACCACACTCTATGCACGTATACTTCGAATAGGCTCGACTCATTTCTCTATTATTACCTGTTTTCCCAACCCATCCTATCACGCAGCGACTTCAGTTTCCTCGAAAAAATTTTAACGACTTTAACATGCAAAAGAGTGACACGATATTTTGCCGAGAGAGTCCTTGATGATTCATCCGACAAATTGTGCCCTTTACGCTCCCTCCGTACGACATTAGACCGTGACAGACAGGAAATATTCGAAAGCGCAAACAGGCACCTGTACGAGCGGCGACAATCAGCCACGAGGTTTGAGATCCGCCGGGAAAGTAATTATTTGGAAAATTCACTGTCCCGTCGCCGCAAACGCGCGGCGGCTCTTCATTTATCGCATGACTCGACTGGTTATAGCGCTCTCTCTCTCTCTCTCTCTCTCTCTCTCTCTCTCACTTTCTCTCTCTCTCTCTCTCTCTTTGTCCCTCTGTCGCTCTGCCGTTTGTTCGCGCGAAAAATGGGGAGAGGGCGGGGGTCTCGATAAAAATATAAATACAAACGCGCACATAACGCGGCGAAAAAACGCGCGGGCGCGCGGTGTATGGACGAGTGGAGACATTAATTCGCGCCAATAAATATTCCCATCGTTCCGGCACATAAACCCCGGCGTTTGTCATACACACGCAGTCATTTCGGTTAAAAGGCATTCCCTCCGCCACTGAATGCAAATGCGAGTAGCTCGTTGTGCGTGCCGCTAGGGTCTCTAAAGTGCTTTCAATTACGCGTTCCACCTAACGTCCCGGCGCGACTCGAGTCGCGCCGACGGTCCTGGAGGGCCGTTTTCCTATGTTTTACATAAACGGGATTTTCAAGTGTTTCACGCCCCACGAGGACACACACGACGACGACGACGATGCCGTCGTCTCCTCGTCGGCGCGCAGCGCCGACTCGTTATTATTTAATACTGACCTCTTCATCTGGCTTTTCCCCACTGTTGCTTTCTTTTTTTTCTTCCCCTTCGCCGCGACTTTCCGCGATGTTTTAACTCGCGAATGGTCGCGTTACGTTACGCGTGATCAGACGGAAAATCGTTTTCTTCCCATGATTACGCGCGGTCGCGTCGCACAGTGTGTAAGATTTTAAGATAGTCCTGGCCAATATCCTGAATCATGTTTTAAATTGACATTTGTAATATGTTTATTAAAATAAGCCAGTTTATTAGTGTTCTGATAAAAATTCCATGACGTCATCAGCTAACTTGTCATCTTTTTACTCGGAATTTTGCGGAAACTCGACATTTATGGATTAGAAGAAATCGGAAACTTTTTCATAACATTTTTGACGTTTTTGCTGCGTGAACAGTTTCTTTGCGTAACATTTCTTGCACTAAGAGAAATTATCCGATACAAAATTAATAAACAGATATTTCCGATCAAAACATCGATGAATTTTTATATCCGATTAAATTTTATCGGATATTTCCGATTATAATGCCATTTTATCAGATAAATCGGTAAAAGACTATGAGCCAATATTTCTTATTGAATGTTTCGTAATCGGATATAAAAATCCATCGATATTTATCATCGATAGTCGGAAATATCTGTTTGTTTGTTAATTTCTTATTGAATAATTTCTCAGTATGTATCTCAGAAAAAGTTATTTCAGCTGCATATGGTCGATTTTCGCAAATCGTAAATTCTCGCAACTTTTTTAAAATTTAAAGTAAACTATACGAGAGAAGCTTTAAGTATATTTGCGAAAGGTTCCTGGATAATGCATGGAAGTATAATAAAACCCTATTAGACAATTATAATAAAAAAAATTCTATTTACTTCAATTAACTTCGTATTATTAAAATAACAATTTTGCCACAAAAGGGAAGAAAATATTATCACGTCCAAATTTGTCGCGTTCTCAGTTGAAGCACTATAAAGAATACTGCAGATTAGTCCTTAGTAAAGATTAAACCTCGTTGGTGTCTCATCACAAGATAAATTTTTGTCTAATCTACCAGCTAGTAATGTAACGCTCATTTCTTCTAGTGGCTAGATAAATAAGTTAGCTGATACTTGAAGAAACGAAATTACAATAATGAGATGAAAAATCATAAATTGTTACATTGCTAACTAGCAATATAACGCCCAGTTTTGCTTTTCTGAGATTTTGAAATTAACGTAATATCTATTTGTGGATTTCCTATCTAATCTTAAAATATGGACAGCGACCAATTAGATTATATATTTTAAAACAAACACAGCGCCACGTTTGGCATATAATGGTTAGATCACAAACCCGATTCTATATCTCAGTGTTCAGCCAGCAATGAGTTAGTATAACGAGCTAAAAACATTTTAGTCCGGACTAGCTAACTATTTGCTTTTGACTCAGCTAATTACATTTTTACTCAGAATGTTAATATTGATTGCTTAACAACCAATACATTAAGTATTTACATTAAACACATTAGGTAATACATAATCGATAAATTACATAAAGATGTATCAACATATTCGATAAAGATCACTGAGTATACGAAATTTAATATTTGTGGCCAGATTTTGATGAAATTCTTCCATCATGCGTCGATCATGCAGAATTTACAGGCCGTTGCCTCACCGCGTTTGTTTCGAGACTCGTTCATACGACAAAAGTCCAACAAGAAAGAAATGCGATGCGTACGCGTGTGTGTGTTTGCGTCTGTGACGTAAGCGACGTGTGTGTGTTTACACTCGCAAGAGCGAAACGCTGTGTTTTGTCGCGGCTCAGCGCGGCGTTCGACCGCGAACAACAACGCCCGCGGAATAACTTAGGTAACACGTCTTTAAACATCCCATGCGTGCACATACGCGCGGCGATATACGAGCAGCCGCGATATACGAGATGGACGATGCGGAGTTGATTTAACGACACTTGTTGCTCGGACAAAGTTGGATAATAATTTCAGGTCGCTTTCCGGGTTTCGGTCGGCGAATGGAGCGGCGCGTCCGAGCGCGCACGTGTGCGCAAGTGTATCCGTGTGTACGTGTATCTTTTTCCATCGCGTCATCATTTCTCTTACGTATCGCTTACACGGCACGCGAGACTTTCGTATTGTCATAATCCTTGTGTGTTTTCCTACCCGCGCGATACCATTTCGACCGCACGCGTCATTCTCAGACAAGAATTTTCCTCATGA